AAAACTGAAGGAACAAAACAGCAGCAGAATCACAGAACCCAAGAATGGACTAACAGTTACCAAAGGGAAAGGGACTGGGGAGGATGGGTGGGAAGGGAGGGATAAGGGCAGGGAAAAAGAAAGGGGGCCTTATGATTAGCATGTATAGTTTTGTGTGGGGGTATGGGGAGGGCTGTGCAACACAGAGAAGACAGGTGGTGATTATACAGCATCTTGCTACACTGATGGACAGTGACTGTAGTGGGGTGTGTGAGGGGGGACTTGGTGAGGGGGATAGCCTTCATGTAATTGTAGATTAATGATAGCAAAAATAAAAAAATAAAAAAAATACAACTTCCAGTGAATACATGGTGGTGGTGAGCCAATAGCCATGAGGCTCATATTTGATATGGCGGGGGTCACATTCGGGGCAGGCACGCTGGAGTGCGGCAAGGTTTTCATTGACTTTGATCCAGCTGACAGCAGGCCAGGTCAGAAGCTTCAGTCAGTTCCATCTCACTGAATCTCCAGAAGACTGGGATCCTTCCTCTGCTAAGAAGCTGCTAATGCTTTTCATCTTGAAGTTGCACATGACTTTAACTGTCAGTACAGCAGAAGTAGACACCTAGAGAATAGAAAGCCACAAATCTTCCTGTCTCTCCTGTCGTGTGGAATCTACATGTGTTTGAACTATTGATTTAGGATTTAAAATTTAGAAGCCTGTGGATGGCCTGTCACAGAGGGCTGCAGTGAGGTTGCCTCCCCCTTCTGCATCCTGGTTTGCTGAGATGCTGTGGTGGACAGAAAGGCAACAGCTACCCATCGACATCATGTTTCAGCAGCCACTCTTCTCTGTGGCCTACGCTGGAAGGACAAATGAATAATTTCTGTGTGCTTAGTGGGCATGAGCCGACATGGTGATTTGAACATCTGGCCCCACTGAAGCCATAATATGTAGCAAACTTGGGGGGAAAAAATGGGACCCAAAAGATAGAAGCATTAAAGGACTTGCTTCAGGGAGTAAAAGGAAACACCCACCCACCCCGAAACCCAGATAACATAGCACATGTGTCCTGACACAAGATGAGCATACCTGAGCCAGAGACCCCATGCTCCTGCTCTCCTGCTGTGCGCGCAGGGCCACTGGGCATGGGCACCTCTGTTGTCTCACACAGGGTAGGGCTTCCTGTTGTTTTGGCTTCTAGTTTCGGGTTTGTTTTGATCACTCAAAGCTCTCATGTTTAGTTTCTCTGAATAATGAGCTGTTCCTGGGAAAGACAGCCACCTCCCCTTGTTATCCAAGACAGTGCGCTGCTGTGGTGGCAGAAGAGGCAGAGGTTGTATGGGTGGCAGGAGTGGGACATCCACCCACTGTTGCTTTGTGTGGGATGTGTCACCGCTCTTCCACACGTTCATGTCCACGGCTGCTCAACAACCCGAGAGTGAGTGAATTCCTATCCTGTAAGGGAAACGTAAGAAATTCAGCCTCCATCAAAGTAGTTTATTCCAGATCTATTGGTAATTGGAGCTATGCCTTCATCATCGCAAATCTCAGCTACTTCCTACTGTGTGTTGAGGAATGGGTGGATGTCCCTTGTCTTTAATCTCCTAATTTTTATTAAACATGCTCAGTACCTTTGTTGTTAAAGATTATTATCTTTAAAGTGCCCTTATATTTTTATGTCCATCAAGAAACAAGTCATTACAGGGTATCAAAGGTAAACTGAGTCCCTTGATAGAAGTGATAGATGCTATGTGATGAACACACATCCTATTATGCAGCAATTAGAAACAACAGATTACATGTATATATAGCAATAGAGGTAAATCTTACAACAGTGCTTAGGGGAAAAGGTTAGAAAGAGTAAGGTAGGCAGATAGCTAGGTAGATAGATAAACAGATCAAACGCCGCTTATGAAAACTGAAAATGCATATATACAAAACAATTTACAAGGACATATATAAACAGAAAGTTACCCATTAAATACTTTTAAACGGCTGTCTATATATGAAATTGGAAATGAATTAGGTCATGAAAATAAAGGTATAAATCAGTAAGTTAAGCAAGAAAATATTCTTTCCCAAAGATGCTAATATGCCATGGGCTGGGGAGTAGGATTAGTTCTCATCCCCTCTGAAACTGAAGTCCAACAAGTAAATAAATAAATCTATACTAAAAGAATAATAAGGTGTCACAGATGCCATGAATGAGAACTGCCATGTGCACAGGATTTAGAACTTCTGTTTGTTAGGCTGGAGGAAGGGAAAACAAGGACATGCAAACAGAACAGAGAGATGCCATAGGGGGAGAACAGACCAGACCCCAAGGTTCATGCCTTATATGGAAAGGGGACAGCTCTTCCTGAATTCCATCCTTCTGATTTGCCAACTAAGACCCGGATGTCAGTCTCCTCCCTCTTGGAAGGAAAAAAGTCCCTAGTTGTCTATTATGTCACCTTTAGCCAATCATACCTCTCCACGCCCCCTAGGATAGCTTGCCCACTCCACCCCCTCCTAACCCCTTATAAGCCCCCACCTCCCTGACCGGGTGTGACTTCCCCAGCCTGTGACAGCCAGACCGCAGAACATTACCCAGGAATTTGCATTCAAATAAACTATCTAGCCCTTTCTTGCCTCTCTTCGTCTGCTTATTTCAGCTAGAATTTATCTTACACTGTTGTCTGTGGATACTCTGAAGAATGAAATAAAGAATACTTGGAACCAAAAAGGGAAGAACAAGCTGGGTGCAGATTCATATTCTCATATGTAACTTCAAATAATTATAGAGAGAGGAAATATTAAAAGTCGATTTAAGAACATTCATGTCAACTATCTTAATTAAATTTTTTTAAATAGTCATGTTAATATAACATTAGCAGCATGTCCTCAAGAGAGTGCTTTCAATTTTCAATTATATTCTTGTGTAGAGCGTAATTCGTCTTTTCAATACTGGTCTGAGAAATTTCTAAATCTGCTGACTCGACTGAGTTTTCTCTCCTGATGCTAATCATGGATTCAATATCAAAACAGATAAGAGAGGCTTGCAAGTTCATCTACATCCCCCCCTGAAGGGTAGAGTCCATATGAGTCTGCCATCCAACCATTATAGCCCAGAATAATTGTAAATCTTGAGGAATTTCTACCCAAAACAGGTGAAATAAGGAGTATCCCCTTCATATTTCATATTAGCTGTAGCCTGGAAAGCTACAACTGCCAGTAGATACAGTTCCAGGGGACGGCAAACTACAGCCTGCGGTCTGAATCTAGCCTGACACGTCTTTTTGATTCCAAGCCCATAAGCAAAGAATGACATTTATGGCTCTTTGGCCAGCCGCATCTCCCAGCCACTCTTCTGTTTGACGTCCTTGGCTGGCCTGAGGTTCTGGACAGTGGTGTACAGACCAGAATGGGAGGACTGTGACTGGCCTGCAAGAAGCTCCAGGCTGCCAGATGGCAGCATGTCCAGGATTTTGAGTCCTCAGCCTTCCAGTCTTTCTTGGATTAAGTGATGCTTCTGGGGGGGATGGCAGCTTGAAAACAGTTGCAGTTAATAGAAAAAATGTTGCTGCTTCCCTTTTTTTTAAACTTTATTATGGAAAATTTAAATACACACAAAAGTAAGCAGAATATCAGTGAATCCAATGGACCCACCGCCATTGGCCTGGCCCTCTCTTCCACACTCCCACCCATGTTCTGAATCAAATTCCAACCATCCTGGTCTTTTGTTGACAAACATAATAATACCAGGATCACACCTGGAATGGTAAGTAGTTCTCTAATCCCATTAAATGTCCAGTGTGCTTAGAAAAAACATTTTTACATGGCTGGAAAAAAAATCAGAGAACAATGTTTCATGACACATAAAATTTATATGAAATGCTAATGTCAGTGTCTATAAAGCTTTATTGGAACACAGACACTCGTTCACTCACATACGGTCTGCGGCTGCTTTTGTGCTACTGCAGCTGAGTTGAGAATTTGCACCAGAGACAATATGGCCCACGAAGCTAAAATACTCTTTGGCCTTCTACTCTTTGGCTTTTTTTCTACAGAAAAAAATTGCCAACCTCTGCCCTCATCTATGATCCCAATCACCCCTAGCCTTGAAAGGAACTTTGCTTAAGCTCCACCCTGCCTAGAATGGCATGACCTCATGGGTCCATTAGATTCACTGATCTTCAGCCTACTTTTGTGTACATTTAAATTCCTGTTAAGAGTTGCAGCGGGGTAAGCATTTACGGTGGTGCCTGCAGAGAGGCCATCTGCCAGCAGAGGGAGCAGCTGCCCAGGGAGCACTGTACTCATGACCCGAAATGCTTCTGATTTTTTATTTTTTATTGTTGACTCAAGGCAGTCAAGACTCAGGCCCACCCTTCTCACATACGTCCTGAGTCCAAAGATGGACCAGAGCCATTTTGGGTCCAGGTGGCATTATGTTGTCAAGGACCTCTTCAATCAGTAAAAGGTTACAGAATTACCTGTAATTCCAGAACTTTTCTACCCCTACAATTGTGGTGTTGCTACAGGAGTTTTTGGGTCTTCTAGGCTACTGGAGAGTGTTTATCCCACACTTGGCACAAATTCTGAAGCCCTTATACCGGTTGGTACAAAAGGGCATCAGGTGGGACTGGGATGGCACATGTGCATCTGCCTTTACTACAGCAGAACGGGCAGTCAAGGTCGTGTAGGCCTTGAGTGTGATGGACCTATCAAGGCCGTGAGCTGGATGTCATGTGCCTGAAGACGGTTATGGCTGGGGTGTCTGGAAGCAGCTTAAACAAACTTGCCAATGTATTGGATTCTGGCCGCAACTCTGGAAAGGGGCAGAGGTACAATACACCTTGGTAGAAAAACAATTGGCTGCTGTGTATTACACCTTGCTGGCTACAGAACCCATCGCTGGAATGGCCCCGATAAAGGTAATACCACCTATCCCATCATGGGGCGGGTACGAGACTGGACCCAAAAGCCAAATAGTGGTGTGGCACAAATGCCCACACTGGCCAAGTGGGGTGCATACTATGAGCAGCGTAGTGCCCTCTCTAGTAGCCCCTTGAGTGAGGAACTCCAACGCTTGCTGGGGCTAGTGACATATACTAATGAAAAATAGGAAGAATTTACTTAGAACCATCAGTAGCAGAGAATCCTTATCGGAACGGAAGAGCCCGTATACCCAAAGATGCATGGTATACAGATGGTTCCAGCTGTGGGCAGCCCCCAAAATGGAGGGCTGTAGCTTTCTATCCTAAGACTGAGACAATATGAATGGACAATGGTGAGGGGAAGAGCAGTCAATGGGCAGAGTTGCAGGCGGTGTGGCTTATGATCAACCAGGAGCCCTCCCTACTAGTTGTTTGCACTGACAGCTGGGCTGTCTATTGGGGCTTGGCCCTGTGGCCACCAACCTGGTACTATGTCAACTGGCTGGTTGGTCACTGACCCCTTTGGGGGCAAGAATTGTGGCAAGACTTATGGGCCTGTGGTCAGACTAAAACAGTTATGGTATATCATGTGACAGATCATTTGCCACTGGCATCCCCAGGAAATGATGAAGCAGATGAATTGGCCAGGTGCATTTGCTAGAAGGAAATCCTGCCTCTGATGC